ATCAACTCGTCGGCCGACTTAATAAGTACTGTTCCCTTTGTTTCGGTCGCCTGTGTGTCCACCGGACACGTGTAGACCACCACTTTGGCCGCTTCAGCCAAAGTCATGTCTCCCTCGACCTAAAAACGCGACAAATAATACATTCAATTATAAAATCACAAACAGTTTTCATGTAAATCATTACCAATTTCTTAAACACCATTCCCTGAACCACTTGTGAGCTCTCGATTCCCGCGCCTAATATCTTACAGATCCTAATGTTGTCGACATTGAAAGCTTTGTTGTCTCCGATCACCGAAACACACGCTTTCGCTATCAGTTCCGATAGAAAGTCTTCGTTGCCGTACTGTTTGCTCATCACTGAAGAGCGAATGGCTTTCATCACCTCCTTTAGATCCAACACATTCTTCACCTCATGGACTGACAGTTTGGGCAAAATCTCGTCCAACACTTTATTCACCGCCAATTCGTAGCCATCGATAATCTCAGTCGGCTTAAGACCCATACGAATCAATTCTTCGGCGCTTTCCAGTAGAGAACCGGCGAAGAGGATCACAAAATTGGTTCCGTCGCCCACCTGTCCATCCAATACAACAAAATACATGATATATTAATAAACAATAAAAATAGATGACATGGAAGTGATAGGAGAAAGAAGTGACAAAATGGTCGCAAATAGAGTGAACAAAGAGAGGGCAGACCTCGTGCTCCATCATCTGCGAGGCCTGAATGATCATTCGGGCGGTCGGGTGCTGGACATCCATTTCCCTCATGATTGTGGCCGCGTCTGACGTCACGAACAACTTCTCCAAGTGATTGATAATCATTTTGTTCAGTCCTTTGGGTCCGTAAGCGGTCTTCAGAGTAGTGGACAATTCACTGCAGGCCTCGATGTTGCGGATGACGGCCTCCTCGAGGCCCGAGAAATATCTCGTCCCCTCTTTCAACATCTGACTAAAACCCGGAGCTTTCGGTACCGACAGAGCCATCGCTAGAGAGTTGTTGTGGTTTTTCGGGCTTTTAATTGACAATCAAATTGTGATTTCAATTCACGATTGAAAATGAATTGCGGTTTTCAGGCGACAAATAAGGCGTGCATTCAATGCATGCATGCATTCAACCAATGGTTCGGTCCATACATTACGTCCGCTAATGGTTTGAAGAGTTTGTGTTTTTTGTTTACAATTCAAAGCGATATTCAAATTGAATGTGTTTTTTAAATATCAATATTTCAGATGTTTTTCTCAATTTATATCTCGTTTTGTATTTGAATTTGTTTTCCAAAAATTAGTGTAATTTTTAAATGCATTTCTATTTCAAGTGTCGATTGAATTGAATGTGTTTTTGGCCACACATTGAGGACCAGTGTTGCCGACAATCGCCGCAAACCGTATGTATTATTGGCTTTTGTATTAAAAGTAATGCTTTGCTAAACGTGTTGTCGATCTTAGGATAGGAACCGCTCTCTACTGGTGATCACCCGTCGATTGGTCCGAGAGTTGACGGTTTCCACACACTTGTGGTCATACAATGGCTGTGATGACAGACCCCAAGAGATCGCAACTAACTGTAAGTCTATGTCTTGACATTTAGGGCCAATTGGTTTGAAGCGAATGCCAGGAGCTGTCGGTTCCGGTCATTGGCCACAAGTGATGGTCATTTGGTGTGAATATAGTTTGTAAGAGTGAGGGTTACGGGAGGGGAGGGGACGGGAGGTGTTAGTCATAGACTTTGAGTGAGAAACTGGCAGTCGATGGCAAGTGTTTGTGAATTAGTATATATTTATACATTATATAACATTAATGAATACAAGACTAATATATACTTAAAAATATATTGACATAAATATTAGTGGAAAAGTCTGTCACGTAATGTGAGTGAAGTGTTGGCCCAGAGTTTGGTCGATCACTACAACTAATAACCACTACTACCAGTGCTGAGCGCCGTTGGGCTTCCGCGACAACATTTGCGCTCAACGTATGCATCAGTGCTGTTGAAGAGAGCAGTCAGTCCTGTCAGTCCACTGCCATCACAGCACTGGTTATCGCCGACAGCGCTCAACACATCACATCCACATCACATCTTACATAACACAACCACTGGTTGGCAAGAAAACCAGTATTGGCTATACTTTCTTAGTTGGCCGGAGGCGTCCCATCGCCACAACCACTGCTTCCTGGAGTCAGAGCCCATCCGATCCCTCCAATCCCTCCACCAATATATCAACACTCGTTATAAGACGATCCGTAAGTGTTTTTTCCGAGTCTTTTCCTAAACTTAAAATCAAATCCACTTTTTTCTGTCCCACTCTTCTCTCCGTTAAATTGCATTTAAAAAGAGTTTTCTTCGTTACGAAACTCTCGATTCACTTCATATCTTAATTAACATATTTTTTGGGATTTTTTCACTTTATTTGTTGTTTCATTCATTTCGGTGTCGACTTTAAAAGTAATATATTTGAGAAACATTTCGAAAGTTTTCTATTTTACCAGATTTTAATGTGCAAAGAGTATCCCTTTTCGAAAAACAAGTGGTTTTGCATCTAATAAATACTCTTTTTATATGTTTTTAATGGTTTTAAAGTGTTATCTCTATATATCATCGAAATATTTAAATTATTGAAGCATTCAATGCTTGGATTGAATATATTTTGCGAAATATATCTACATATATATACATCGAAAGCAATTGTGAATATTTTCCTCATTTTTGATTCATTTGTATAATTAATTAATTAATAACGATTCGCAGAAGAGTTCATATTATATATTAATTCAGTAGAGAAATAAAGTGTGAGTTTTTAACCCATTTCTTCGCAAATTTGTTTTTCAACGAAGTTATAACACATTTGATATAACGGTATTTCGTGTTTAAGCGACATTCAATACATCTACAAATTGTAGATATAATTTAGCTTTCATTTCATACGCCATACAAATTGAAGTGTATTTTTAATTTTGTAATTTTATTTATATATGCAAAACCACGTCGACGTTCAGGTAAGAGAAATGTCTACAAATTTGTTATATTTCTCCTAAATATACAACGTTTTGGGAGGTTTGGTATGTTTAGCCAGAAATCGCATCTCTCGATCCGATTCTTATCTATTGTATTGTATTTTTTATTGGTTTATAAATTGCATAAAATATGTTGTTTTTTTGTATAAAATTGATTCAAATATGTTTTTGAATGAAAAGTCATATTTGAAGTTTATTTTAGTATTTAATTTCTTGGTTTGATTTGTTTGAAGCGAAGAGAACTCAAAGCAAACATAAATAGATGTTTATTATGGATGTGGAGAGGAGTTCATTATAAACAGGTTTATTAAAACTTTAATTTTTTGAGTGGATTTCATGAATACATTTAACAGTTATATTTTTGAGAAATATTTTTCATAGATTTAATGATTGACCGCAATTGGTGTCAATGTTTATAACAATTGATTTTACGGTAATAAATGGCACTTTAACTGCACTGCGAATGGAGAGTCCAGTGCTGTGTGTTTAGTGTCGTATAACTGTAAGTCTTCCTCAAACATGAGTTAATATTAGATTCAGTCATAAGGAGTCATATTTAATGCAAAATGTATTTTGTCGTTAAACTGAGAAAAACTTCCTCCTTTTCTTAGGCAAACTGATTGGCACAGGTATGTAGTGATAGGTATAGGGGTATGACAAGGGAATGGTAGGCTATGGGCACATGTTGTTTGGTGCCGATGCCGAGACACTGGGAAAGGGAGGTGTTGTCGACACGACATGTTCGCGAAGCCAAAGAAGTCTTATATAATTAATTCAATTTATTTCCTCGTAAAGCAAAATCACAAAAATACTCAAATAGTTAATTACGAGTCCTTGAATTGAATGAATGTATTGCCAAACGAGACAAACAACAAAACCTTAAAACCTGATCATATAATATGTTAAGTGTTAATAAGTACTGTATTACCAGTTTTTGTTAAACTATAGATAAATGAGAATTTTTTCCGTTGAAAATTATTTATCACTTATATATAAGAATATATATTGGGTTCCCATAAGACATAAGGAAAACTCCAAATTTTTCGATTCACCAGAATATCAGTCAATAGTATTGAAGTTAAATAGCATTGAATTATTACGTATTTATGCGTAATTCACTTGCAATTAGTTTTAAATGCATTTAAAGTTTTAAACTTTCCAAACACTGTCAGTAAAAACACAAAACAAAGTCATAACTAGAATTGTATTGAATACAAAAGTACATCAAATGTTTTGAACACTTGTTTTCCAACTACTGACTACTGATACATAGTTTTGTTTCTAAACTTTTTTATTTTCTTTATTAATAAATACTATTTTAAGTGTTAAAAGTATTTACAAACATTTTTCTAAGAGTTGTTTCATTTAGTAATAAGTTTGTTCTCTAATGTTATAGAAGCCAAGAATGCCTATCAATACAATGCTAAACGGATCGTCAGCCCAAACGGACAGTACCCAGAAGTGGCCCAAAAATGTTGGCATTTTGGCCATTGATATGTATTTTCCGAATGCATTCGTCGATCAAAAAGATCTCGAAAAGTTCAATGGAGTCGGAGAAGGAAAATATACGATAGGCTTAGGTCAGCATCAGATGGCCTTTTGCAACGACAGGGAAGACATCAACTCTATCTGTCTCACTGTCACTAAATCATTGATGGATAAGCACTCCATCGATCCCAAGAGTATTGGCTTTTTGATGATCGGAACCGAGACTATAATCGATAAATCAAAAAGTGTTAAAACAGTTTTAATGGACTTATTCGAGAAGAGCGGCAATCATGACATCGAAGGCATTCACGCCACTAATGCATGCTATGGCGGAACAGACTCTCTATTCCGGGCCTGGGATTGGATTGAATCCAGTTCTTGGGACGGAAGATATGCCATCGTTGTGGCCGCAGATATCGCCGTCTATGCCAGCGGTCCCGCCAGACCTACAGGTGTGTTACTTTGCTTTATATTTCCAATAAGGTATGCAATATGTAATATATAATATTTCACACCTAATCATATGGTTAATATATTGGGCGAATCGTATGGTTTAAGATTAATTATGGTTTTAGATATTAATTATCACATAACTAGAGATAATTAGCTTTTGGATCGTAAGGTATGACCAGAAATATATCTAACAGGAAACATATTTAATTAGCTATGACATAGTACTGTATATCTAAATTACTACTACTCCTACATTGAATGTCATTATATTATATTTATAAGTTTTATGTAATTATGAGAACCGAAAATATTTTATTTTACCTTAAAATATAATTGAAAAGATTGGTGAAAATTGAAGAGCAATTGACCATTGTCATTAGCGATATCATGATTCATGATTAGTCAAGTATTTCTATAACAATAGCAATGATTTATCTAATTCTCAATGAATCATTAGATGATTTGTCAGCTAATTGTCAACAAATCACATGTTATGTGACTTTTATCTCGAATATTTAACTCCTTAATAGTGTTACAGTCCTTAAGTAGTTATAAATATAATTTATTTGACAGAAAAGTATTATACATTTACATGTATCATGTGATCAACATATTGTTCACATGAGATGTACTGTTTGTGTTTAAATATCACTCAAATTCCCTCTTTTGAAAGTGATTTTTATAATTTTAAAATAATTTTGTTGCCTAATATAAAATTCAATTCTAGCAATAAACAAGTTTATTATAAAATAAAATTTTTAAACGTCAAAATATACTAAAAAAAACTATGGTTTAAATATTATTTTCATTATATTTTCATTTGTTTATTCCCCAGCATTTGTATCACAATTATTGTGTTTTTAATATTTTATTTTTTACTAAAGAAATATAATTAGTTTTCCAAAATTGTTGGTATAATAATGAAATGATTTAATGTTTAATTGCAAACATTGCAATTAATTAGTGGGTAATTCATAGTGGGTTTAATTGTTTGTAACAATTTAAACACATTTTGTTGATTTGTATGAAGTTATGTGCAAATGAGTGTCAGGAAACGGGAAAGTTATTATTATTGCAATCCATTAATTGATGAGATTTATGATGAGATGTTATTTTTAAAGGAAATTTCCAAAAATAATAGAATCTATTTTTATATTTTTAAAAATGTTTTTATCTTATTTATTAAACTAATAATAATACTGAATATATTATAATAATCAATATTATGCTAATTAACGGTAAATGTTTTGCGATCGACAGGAGGATGTGCTGCGATTGCAATGCTTGTGGGTCCGGACGCTGCCATCGTTTTTGACAGGAAAGTGCGGTCCACTTACATGTCGAACGTCTATGACTTCTATAAACCCGATATGAGTTCGGAGTACCCGACAGTCGACGGCCCGCTTTCCAACCAATGCTATCTCCAGGCACTCGACAAATGCTTTAAACTATATTTCGAAAAAGCAAACAAACTGACAAAAGGCACGTCTCTCGACACCTTTGACGCTATTGTATTTCACGCCCCGTATTGTAAACTCGTCCAGAAGTCCATCGCACGACTTCAGCTCCTTAATTATCTGCAGAGTTCGGACAATCAAAACAACGATTCTCGACAGGAGGATGTGCTGCGATTGCAATGCTTGTGGGTCCGGACGCTGCCATCGTTTTTGACAGGAAAGTGCGGTCCACTTACATGTCGAACGTCTATGACTTCTATAAACCCGATATGAGTTCGGAGTACCCGACAGTCGACGGCCCGCTTTCCAACCAATGCTATCTCCAGGCACTCGACAAATGCTTTAAACTATATTTCGAAAAAGCAAACAAACTGACAAAAGGCACGTCTCTCGACACCTTTGACGCTATTGTATTTCACGCCCCGTATTGTAAACTCGTCCAGAAGTCCATCGCACGACTTCAGCTCCTTAATTATCTGCAGAGTTCGGACAATCAAAACAACGATTCTCGACAGGAGGATGTGCTGCGATTGCAATGCTTGTGGGTCCGGACGCTGCCATCGTTTTTGACAGGAAAGTGCGGTCCACTTACATGTCGAACGTCTATGACTTCTATAAACCCGATATGAGTTCGGAGTACCCGACAGTCGACGGCCCGCTTTCCAACCAATGCTATCTCCAGGCACTCGACAAATGCTTTAAACTATATTTCGAAAAAGCAAACAAACTGACAAAAGGCACGTCTCTCGACACCTTTGACGCTATTGTATTTCACGCCCCGTATTGTAAACTCGTCCAGAAGTCCATCGCACGACTTCAGCTCCTTAATTATCTGCAGAGTTCGGACAATCAAAACAACGATTCTCGACAGGAGGATGTGCTGCGATTGCAATGCTTGTGGGTCCGGACGCTGCCATCGTTTTTGACAGGAAAGTGCGGTCCACTTANAAAATAAAATATAAAATTGTTTAAATTATTTAAAGTCTAATTTAGATTAATATTTATTGTATTATTTAAATCAGTTTTAAAAAAGTATTAAATTTTATGAATTTTGGTTTTGAATATTTAAATTATTATTTGAAATAATTAATTATTAATTTTAATGTATAAATTTAAATTATAACTAACCATAAAATTATAACATTAATTTTATCTCAATTTTCTAACCAATTATTAATACTTTTCAATCAAATCCAGTGTTTTTACGTAACATTTAATTGATTTCCTTTTCGATCATTTCTTCATCTTTTTTATTGTTTACTATTTTTCATTTATTTAGTGATTGAATACATTTTGTGATAATTAACGAATTTATATGAATTATTTCCTAATAAATTATTTTTATTCAATTTCATCGTATGATTTAATTGCCTGTAATCACAGACTTCGCAATTGTAATTGTATTAACAAACACTAGTAATGAATCCAAAATGTATGTGAAGTGGGATATGACCGGGGATTTGGTATATTAGGGGTTATTTGCGATTATGTCCGGAAAGCCCTTTAAATAATATGTATTTTAGTTACCGACACAACTTATTGGACGCCCAATTGATCCAAAATCATTTCTTGTAAACATTCAGAAGTGACCACATCTGACCCACACTTGAGGATCGGAATACATGCCGGTATGAAAGCAAAGCCTAAGACCAAAGACATTGTCGTTCCTGTCGTGCATTTTATGAATGATAGCGAACACGTCATTAGCTTTTTAGTACCAATGCATTCAATTACAGTCCATGTCTTGCGTCCGAATTGCGTTAAAATTTTTATTAAACCAAACATGTAATCTCGGAATACACTATATTTTGGATATAATAGTTATGAATAAATATCGTATAAAAATTTTAATGATCTCTGTTATTCTTATACTGTACCTAAACATTGAATACTGTTGATTGTCTCTAATTTTCAATAGGTTAAGAGCGGCACAAAACCATTCCTTGGGCTCTAATGTCCTATTCTTCATGTGATCCACTTTTGTAACGATTTCATAGCCAAACATAAGTGCTAATTGGCTTTCATTGTATGATTTATATGAAATCGGTATCATTTCAAGAGATCCGTCGCTTTTGACACAAAATGTTTCGTTTCCAGAAATGCTTTTATTATTAGACTTATATATGAGTGAAGAAACAGATTTGACTCTCGGAATCCATAATATATAGAGTAATACAATGACTAAATTAAAAAAATTAATGACACATTATGTGATTAATTTTTAATTATCAACGTTATTTAGCGTTGTTTACTTAAATGGTAAGTAAAACAGAATTATACTGCTCTCTTTGATAAACAATATTTACTATGTGTATACCCAACAGACACAAATGTTTGTAAAATTTTCACAAACTTAATTGAAATGTCGAAGAATTGCTGACAAAAAATGGCATTTAGAGTACTGTTTAAAAGAGATTATTTGATTTTATTAATTATTTCAATGCCTGTAATTGTGTGTCTCATTCATCGTCACATCGAAACCATTATGAATACTGAGTGAGTGTTTGTTTGAGGCATATATCATATGAAATATGTTTTAATACTTA